AAATCAGGTTAGTACTTTATTCTCTTGCCCTTATTTATTGAGGAACGTACTATAAGAAGTCAGTACATCAGTCATGGTGGTTATCGGGTCCCTAAGCCCCATAGGAATTATGGAATTTAGATTTACTATGAATATCTAGTGAGCACCTAATTAGTACTTCATTCTCTTGCCCTTATTCATTGAGAAATGTACTATAAAAACTCAGTATATCAGTCATGGTGGTTTTCAGCTTCATGAGCCCCATAGGTATTATGAATTCTATGAATATCTAGTGAGCACTTGATTAACATTTTATTTTGATTGTCTATGTATTAGTTCACGAGCATTTCAAGACTTCATTGCATATTGTTAATTTTTGTTCTCAAATCAGGTATCCCGAAATTTTTTCCGCTTATTCACGGTCGTTTTCATCTCAATTCCTTGCAAGCACCTAATTAGCACTTTATCACCACGCTTGAGCATTCGTCCTCGTTTTTGAGAGATCTGATTCTTAGATCTGTTATTTAGCGAAATTGGAAGCTTTTGTTTATTAATTGGAAAATTTCACGATCCTCATAGTTTAGCACTTAATTAGCACCTAATATTGTTTCCTTAACATTCATTATTTTTGTCATTGCGTTGCTAGCATTACATAATGTTATTAACGCAACTTTGGTTATTGAGTTACAGAGCACCTGAAAAGTACCTAATTCTGACATTTTGCAAATGCGATTTCCATACTTTGCGTCGCTGGCGTAATAGAGTTTCTCGTCAATCCACCGCCGCTCCTCCGGAGCGGTCCTCAATTTACTGATGGGCACTTCAGCAAGATTGACATCTGATCTACTGCGGTCGAAAGCCAGCCTTCAGGTGCTTACACTTTCTAATCTAGTATTTTGTTGACTTAACTTCACTTGAATGTAATTTAATTCATGTGGCCCACAAAAACTAACCGGAGACGAGTGTCTTCATATCGCGAGCAAGTGTTTTTTAGTGATCTGAAAAAGAAGTGAATTTGAAATCTGATTAAAAAGTTACTATACTTTCCGGAGACGCCTGATATCGACTCTCGGGGGTGGTCTCTGATTCGGCTTGGTTGGTCTCTTTTCTCTCTCTCGGGATCTTGGGTCTTCCCTGTTGAGTGCTTCATGTAGATCGCTCAGTCTGGACTGTTGTGTGATCGATTCCTTTCGAACACGTTTTCTGCGTGTTTTCTCATATACGCGTCTACATAGTGGATGTTCAGGTCCAGATAACGGTATATGTATCTATTTGTTATTCATCTCGGACTGTTTACGGCGGCTCGCACGCAACCATTCATGAACGTCCGAATACTGCGTCTGTATCTCGCTGCGCACTGGCCCCAGACAGTACAGGTATACAGGATGATTGGGAGTAGTACGGTCTTGATTAGCGGCAATTTTACGTGGGGTCCCATGTTGCTTCTACGATCTTTAATCTGACCGCCTGCTGGTAACTTGCGAATGGCTATTTGATCTCGCCAGTAGAGCTGTGTCGTTCGCGTAGAGTGCCAACTGGTTAAAGTTGTTCTCAGGTTTGGGCACGACGGCTGTGTATACCGAGAAGAGGTGTGGCGAAAGGATTGCACCTTGTGGGACTCCTGCTTCCAGTAATCGCCAGTCAGCTAGAAGAGGTCAGATTAGTTTTACTATTTGTTTCGAGTAGCCAAAATTGCTCATTTTGGCTAGTTGTCCGTCATGCTAAACTCTATCGAACGCCTTGGAGACGTCTAGGAATATCGCTCCGGTGTGATATCTTTTGCCCAGGTTGAAACATTCTGTCGCATAGTCTACTTTCCTCAGGACTTGCAACTCTGTCGAGTGTTCGGATGTGAAATCGAACTGTTCGTCTGGTAAAATTTCTAGTTCGCTGGTTTGGTCTTCTAGTCTTTTCAAGATGACTCGTTCTGTCACTTCGCTTATGGAAGAGATTAGGCCTATTGGCCTATGGTTATTCAGAAATATGTGGTTCTTGTTTGGCTTCGAGATGTGAATGACCGTTGCCTCCTTTGACGGGTACGGGAAATGCTGTAGTCTGAATATAGCGTTGATGATATCCGTCATTGCAGCTATACCTTTCCTTAGTAGGGCCTTCAGTGCTCGGTTTGGTATCTGGTTTGGGCCTGGGACTTTTCGAGTCGCTAGGCACCTCATGATTCCTTCCACTTTCTCGTGTGATGTCGGTGTTAGGGGTTGCACTTTGTCTCTTCGTTGCCGTGGTATCCTTTGTACCGTCTCTTCGACCTGGTTTTGGATTTCTTCTACTTCTTCCGTGAACGAAACATCATTTCCTCTACATTGCCTTTTGAAGTTTTCAGCAAATTCTGCCGCTTTCTCTTGGTCCGTGTAGACGATTCCTTGCTCGCCGTGTATAGGCAGACATGGTTTTTGGTGTCCTTTCCTAAGAACTTTCTGGATTCTCCATGCAGATTGGTCTTCTTTGTTGAGTTCTTCCAGACGGGTTTTCCATTGTCGGTCTCGAATTGCACGCAGCTTTTGCTGCAGGATTCTGCCGGCTTTGTGCATACTCCTTTTGTTCATTGGAGCGCGTGACCGTTGACATCTTCTCTTCAGGCGTCTTCTGATTCTGATAAGTTCCATTACTTCCGGTGTGTGGTCCTGTAAATTGAAGCGAGGCTAGGACTTCCCGCCCGCTCCTCTCCATAGTTTGGATGACCACCTGTTGTAACTACGTTGTGGCGTTCTCCACATAGTCCTTGTTTCAATGCGTGGGATGCCTCCTATTGCGTGATTCATGGGTTCACTGACCCAACTGATATCCTCGTGCCCGGTATTATATTTCGTTCTCGTAGTGTTTGGCCTGTTTACGGAATGGCCTGACACCAATTTCTCTAGTTGGCTTCTTCCAGTGTTGTACTCACGATGTCTCCTTGTATTTTTGAAATCCGTGCAAATTCCAAGAACTTCTCTCTCGAGGCTATTTTCTTCATGATTGATTTGGTTTTATCTCTTTCCTGATTCACATTTGTTCCTTTGAAATCTTCTGATTCCTTCGTGCAATTCGAAATTCGGTTTATCGTACTCTCAACTTTCTTTCTTTCTCTATAATTTGGACTCTAAGCGGTTTCCTTTCTAATCTCATCCTTGAATATAGCTTTACTCTTTTTCTTCGAACCCAACGCGACTTCTGCGTCTTCCAAATTCTCTCTTCTTTTTGATTATTGATACTTTCGTATTCGCGTTCTGACTCCGTTAGGGTTTTTCCTTGGTTCTCAAATGGGTTGAGTTGTTGAACAGGTTCTGCTTTCAGATGAGTACTGCGTCTACCGTTTTGACCATTTGTTTCTAGGTTTTGTATTCTACTATCAGGTAAATTTCCTGTTTCATTATATTCCAAATCCTCACTAATATCATAATCGTTATCTGATTCGATTTGAGGCTCTCTCTGGTTCACAGATGAAGTGAATCGTCGACCAGGCCTCCCATACGAGGAAGTAGTGTGTCTATCATCTTGATAATATGTTCGTAGATCTTTCATTTCATCATCAGATGTTTCGATACGGTAAAAACCACGTTTCTTTTTCACACATTTCAAACAATTCTCATTATTCATTACAAAATGCGGCCAGCTCATACAAGGTGCCGTAAATTCTTCACAACATATTCTGTTATAGGGGAAATCACATTCCCTCTTTCCATATTTCGAACAACTATAAGAAGAAAACTCCATGAGGTTGAGAAAGCTCACTACTTCTTTCTCGACCGGATGAACTCAGTGGTAGTGACACCGACTTCACCTGAGAATTTTTTCTCAGATTCTCCATACTCTCTGGCCCTATCTGACCCCAAAAACATGCGAAATCTCGCTTCCCAGACTGATCTCTTGATTCAACAATAACATCGTGTTTGTGTTCCAACACATCTTAAATCGGTATTCTTAAAAAAATGCCATTCCCAACAAAATATTTGCAGTGAAATCTGCTACCTGCCCAACTAAAAATTCATCTTCGATTACTTGGCTATCACCAAATCCTAATTTCATTCTTGTATGGTTTCCTGTATAACTGTTTCCTGTATTGCTGATATCAATATTCGTCAGGGATATCAGTTCATTGAATAGTTACTGTGGTTTGGCAAACAGTAATCATATCCACACTAGAGGACCACTATCACTTTCATAACATTTTTTTTTAATTTGACCCGCAGAAAAATTCAATATCTGAAGCGGGTTACAAACAGGAGAGTAGTAAATTATCTTCTGAGCTCGTTCGTTAAGAATTATAACCACATCAAACCTCATATCTCAATTAATATGACAATCTATATATCCAACACGGAATTTATCCATCTCTCACATATGGAAATGATTGATAATGAGTACATTCTATAAAAAGCTAGGAATGCAATACTTTTCTTGACACGTGTTCCACCAATCAAGCTGGCGTCTCCAGGAGAGAAAGAAAATTGAGTATGAAAAATGAGAATTGAAACTTTCTATGTGTTTTACCACTTTTATTTGTAACAAACATTACTGCATTAATCCTTGGAAACTCATGAGCATAAACGTTGCGGGTGCAACCTGTCAAATGATCAAATCGATCTAGTTTACTCACTGGTTTTCATATTAGCGAATCGACATTGTCACAGGTCACAGGTAAAAAAAATTCAGCTACTCAATTAAGTTAGGTACCTCTATTATTACCTACAGTGGTGTTATAACTATAAGGGCTAATGTAATCAATAATTTTTGGTTCAATGCATTAGTTTGAAAATGTCCTCATAGGACGAAACTGCAGTAATGTTAGTTACAAATGAGAGTGGTAAAAAACAAAAAGTTTCAATTCTCATTTCTCATAAAGCTTTCCTACCTAACGGCTACATTCATCAATTTAATAAAACTGAGTATATTTTCAGTTATTTGAATAAACACATATAAATGACGTAAATAAAAATTTAGAATTCAAAATTGTCTATCGTCATTACTATTGAATAATAGAACAGTTTTGTTCATCTTGTATCTGTGACAATCAGTAAAATGACATTTTTTTTTTCAGAAACGGCGTTAGGTGTGAATTTGAATTTACAGAAAAATCGGAAAGAATATCCAGTGTTATTAGAAAGGTATATAAATGAGCGTACTTATTCTTCAATTTTAAAATGTAAAAATTGAGTTAAAATCATTGATAGATGTGAAATTGTCCTCAATTGAAAGGAAAGGAAAAGAAAACTGTTTTGGGTATAACTTCATCTCATCAATAGGTGGTATCTGAACCTAAACCTAATAAAAGAATGTGAACGATGAAATTTATGAGTTATTGAAAGTGACTTGTTTTCAGGGGTTTGGACATAACCAGTGATAGAATGTTCAGTTTTTGGAAACCTTACAAATTCTTATGGTATTTTTCAACTGATAAGAAAATTTTTGATGATATTTATATGAACCTTCATGTACTTTTTCAATCTGTAAGTTGAGTTGATTTTTTCTGATCCTTTTGTTTATATTAACTTCAATTTCAGCTTATGCGGAAAAAAATGAGTGAATACGAGAAGGAACTTGAAGTAGAACGCTTGGATGCCAATGTCGAAGAAGGTACGTGAATATACATGTATTCAAATTCTCAGATGATCGAAATATATTTGTATTTGAAGGCTTTTTTCTCTCAAGAACTAGAGTGTACTGAATTACTTGAAAATTGACTCCAGCAGTTGAAATTTGAGTAAGAATCAATAAATACAGAAAAATATTTTTCATTGGTACTTACATGTTTTGTTCATTCGACATATGACTCTGATACAATATGAAAACAGCAACAACCTGATGAACGTGAAATACAGGGAAATATTTTTATCAATAATCAGATGAGTCTATATTTTAACTCTAAATGAAATATCACTAGCAAATATTTGAAAAGCGTTATTCAATCATCTTATTTTTGAACGAATATGTTTGAAATATAAACACTCAGTTTTTTCAATGAAAGGATGCACTGTAGTGAAGGCAGTACCATCACTCCCAAGGAAGACGCTATGTGAGGAATCGATAAAGGACTCAATCCAGAAATATCAAAAATTAACAAGGCTTCCAAGACGACAGTCGGAAAGCTGAATTTGGTTCGTTCCGCAAATTATCTTTCTTGAATTCATATGCCTGTAAGCACTTTCACGAATTATTTTGAATCCATCCCTTGAAATATATTGTAATTTGTTGTATATATTGTAACATAGTTAACGCCTTGAATCGCTATGCCATTTTCTGCACATAATACGCATACCTACATTTGTCATTTGTTCAAAACAATACTCATTTCGGAGGAAATGAACTAGATACCAACTAAGTTGGTGAAACACGCGTCAAGAAGACTGTTGCAGTTCTGGTGTTTGGAAACAGAGTTTTCTTGGATTTTGTTTTATGCCAGAGTTCTCAGGTACCTTTCAGCTGTTTATTTTTGTCAGTAAATTATTTTTTGTTTATCAATTTGATGAACGTGTCGCATTCGTTTTTATAAGCATCTTCTAATTTTGACGGTATCAACTGCGATCCTGTTCAGCTATTTGATTAATCATTATTATAACACTATTTAGGCCAAACACAATCAGTAATAAATGTGATGACAAAAATTGATTTCATGAAATATTGTAAGTTGATTTTTGTTTTTGTTTATGGAAATATTTAAGATAATAATGATGAGACAAGCGTTTATTGAAATCGTAACACAATCCCAAATAAAATTTAGGAAATAATTCTCTTCAGAAGCCAAGTGATAAATACTTAAAATAATTGATAAGTGTTCAATCGTCATCCAATGGTACTCTGAAATAATTCACAAGAAATTGCTTTCACTTGGAAGTGCATGTTTTGAGAATAAATTATTGGGTATTGAAAAATGATATTGAATCAATAAAAATAATAATAATGAAATAACCAAGAAGGGCTGAACCAATTTTCATGATTTTTGTGTTTTTGGATTAGTTTTCATCTGGAATAGAAAGATGAATGAGTATTGAAATATGATATTTTATTGATAAAAATGATAATGATGGAAATGAAAAATATCGAGAACGTCTGGAACGATTCTAATGAATTTAGTGTTTTGGATTTGTCTTTGTCGGGAATAGAATGATGAGTTTTAAAATATGATATTTTATCAATGAAAATTATAATGAAAGAATTCAAGAACGGCTGGATCAAATTTTATGATTTTTGTGTCTTTGGATCTGTTTTCATCGGGAGTAAGATGACAAGTATTGAAAAATTATATTTCATCGATAAAAATGAAAGTAATGGCAAAAATAAAAGAACTCAGGGATGGCTGTACCAATTTTTATAATTTTTGTGTTTTTGGATTTATCTTCATTCGATAGGCCTGCTAGCATATGATAAAAGTATGACTGATCGATGTACATGAAAGATATTTAAAAAAAATTGTAAGCGGTCTTTATTAACGAAATATAGAACCGAAAACGATGATTTTCAGCAAAACCCTAAAGCCAATCAAAATATTGAAGCCAGCCGTAAAAGCCTACATTCCTATATAATGAAGTGTATTCTCTGCGTCGGCGTTCAAAAAGATGGAAAAGTGTCGTTTTTTTTCACTATGTGGGAAAGTTCAGCGACATCATTACCTTGTGGTGGGTATGAATTTGGATTATCGGCACAGTGAAAAATCTTTCGACTTCATATTGTACTAAGTTAATTTCATGCAATAGTGTTTGATTTATATTAAGAGGTTCACACATGAAAAATCATGTCAATTTAAAGAATCGAGTAAAACATTTGTTGACACTTAACTCTATAAAAATACTATTCGGGTGATTTGACTCAATTTTTGATTGACTATATTTCTAGGAATAGTTAATGAATTCTTCTATAAATCAAATAAAATACAAAATTTTGTAGATCTGGGGAAACCCAATAACTGAATTTAACGATAACAAACTGCAAGCAATAGCTAGTTTTTTAATTTTATTACATTTGGTACACAATAACAAGTTGCTTCGAAAGGAGAATAATTGGATGAAATTGAATGATGTCCCAAATAATCTTCAGTCCACCCACCAAATGTTATACTAATATTGGTTCGATTTGTTTTCAATTTGCGTACGACTAATGAGTTCAATCTCTTACAGTTATCTCACCCGAACCATTCAAGTTTTCAGCAATCACATATGTTTGTATCAAATACAATTGGCTATTATGAAATGTTTTTCCTGTGAAATCTTTTGTTCAATTGAAATTGTCATAAAAAGTTTCCCTTTTGAAAGATATAATTTTTTAGTGATTGGTACAAGATTTATATGCTCAAGCTTTTGAAATCAGAATCATCATTAGATAGTATTTGCTTCCGATACATCATTTGAATGTTCAAGAGTGTATCAAATAAAATGAATATTAGATTATAATTTTGGAAGTTATCACAAAGCTGCTGGGGAATGTTTATAGTAGAACTATTCCACATACATATCTGTAGTGAACAAGTTCAACATGAAAATTGGTTGTGTGAATGGAAAATAAGGTGGGCCAAATTACAATACTGATAATACAACTCAACAATTCATGATATAGTATGAAGTAAAAGAAATAAATTGAAAGAATTGGATTCACGTCAATGAAAAATATATCGTTGGAAATTGAAACCAAATTGGAACCATTCAAGCCTGAGGGTCCACATACATTTGAATCTGGTGATGAGGTGGGGAGGCTAGGGTATTACTGTTGACTACAAGGTAAAAGTTCAAACAGCGAAATATTCCGTTGATGATGAGGCAATATTCACCGCAAAATTTTCATCGCAAAATTTTGGGATTGTGAAAAACTGAATTTCAGTGTACATTACACATTCAGTGTGAATATTTGCTGTGGCATACAGACTGATTGAATGAATGAGCCTTCTATTTTACAAAATCTCAAATATGGAAAGTTTTTTGAATTTTTCGAAAATGACGAGAGAAGTTATTGAAGACAGAGCCATCCTAATCGTAGAGTGAGTGGAGCGCCGTTCCAGGCCTCGTACCGCGAGGCCTTACTCGCGCTAAAAAATAAGTAAAAAGTTTTGGTTGAATAAAAATATTACATTAATTCACAGATGGACGTGCCTGAAATGTCTGATAACTCGAGCAATATGTTAAATCATTGGTTGATTACAAAAGCTGGAAATAATTCAGTAGTGACCAAAAGAATGCGATGATAGAGGCGTCGGATTTCCGCCAATTTCCACTTGATAAAACTGAACAAATAATAATATTCATGAATAATAAAATGAATAATTTATGATTCTATATATACTCATTCATTACAAAAGCAATAAAAGGATTAATTTCCAACGGGATTTATTTTTCTGTTAGACCTGAATTATTATGTTTTTTTTAATTCTAAGTTTTCATTGATTTAAAATTGAAGTGAAAAAGCAATTTAACCAATTCTTCATATTGGCTTGTTTTGAGTTGAAATGACTTAATCAAAAATGCTCAAAACACATTTTTCACACTTTTTTTTCGGGTGAGACCACTTTTTCAAAAAAGGTCTGAAGTGAATCATTTTCGCGAGGCCTGGAAAAGTCATTGCTGAGACTTCGAAGTATAATCTTCGTCCTCGCAGTCAACGCACCGATATATGATAAAATTGGCCGAGACTAGTTGACAATTCATGTCTTTACTCAAATTAAAGACACGCTCGAGGAAGCCATTGTATGGCGTATTGCGTTTTCGTAAAACTGTTCAGTGAAAATCTCACAATAGAGTGTTCCATTTGACCACGGCCCACCAACCCGGATCTTTTATCTTTAATCATGACTCCGCCGTGGAAGCCTATGTCCATAGGCCCTTCATAAGACCGGTTGTTCAACGAAGAAAATTGTTGCCTGAAATATCTTCAGCTAACAGATCTTCAATAAAAATATACAAAATTACAAGATTATTATTGAAGAAATTATCATTTCAGAAGATCCCAAACAACTTGTGCGATTCAAAAAAGATGCGGCTAGTTTGAAAAGTATACATAAACAAATT